GCTATTTAATAAGGTAACATAGTGCCATAACGCTGCTAAGACATTCATGCAACGTTTGACTTGGACCTTCAAACGTTGATGACATTGTCTTGACTCTAGCTGAACGTTCCCACAACACTATTATGTTTGCTGGGAATTTTGAAATTTTCTTCATCTTGGTTCAGTGTACAGACAATTTTTGAAGGGGATTCAGTTGGGCGATTGATGCCTTGCATCAGAACACCTGAAAGCATCAGAACATGATGCTTTCAGAAAGTGTTGTCTCACTCCACACATTTTTGCAGATACATGAATGCCTGGTATACCCATGCCAAAATGTTAGGATCTTCAGGAAAAGTGGATTTGTTAACATTTTGGTTAATGGTCACAAAAACAAGAGAGAATCTCATGCAAAACTCGTTCATTTGGATGATCCAAGATGAAGTGCAATATCAACAGTGGTGATCACAGCTACGCCAAAAGCACAGAGTTATCAAGACTCAAGAAAGAGGAGCATTCCACACGAAAGAAAGCATAAAAATGCTGATTACTTTGTGTGTGACAGATCCACAATTTGCCAAGCAATTGGAACATCAAATTTTGCAATAATTCTAAAGCTGCAAGAATTGAAAGACACTTTATCATGGATGTTCATTTCCCTGTTATAAGACTCACATCTCTCATGACCTTTTCCAAGTTTCTCTAGTGCACATTAGTAATCCAAAACCGTAAGCGACTTAGATATTTCAAATACCACATTCATATTGTCAATTTTCTGTTTGACAGGAAAGAATTGACAAACAACAGAAAAAATTCACTTTTTTTTTCTTTTTACAGTAACAGCCATGCATTTGTAGTCATTCTAAGGTGGATGTATCCTGATAAATAAAGTGGTTGCAGCTTGAGAATCTGGCTCAATAAAGAAACAGGATTTTGGCAGTGGCTTCGACAAGCCCTAACTAACTGTAAGTTTGTGCCTCACAAGCAGAATGTTGGAAGGCCTTGGATAATTTAACCATGAACTTGACTTTTTTATCATTAGCACATCAATCATGTTGAAAGAAGGTGTCAAAATGCATGTATCATTAGGCATCAAATCAAGCATAATGAAACACTATAGAGATGTGCAGCTGCACTATATAGTTTGGGCATGGAAAAGAAACTCCCAAGTACCAAGGACAGAACAAATTGATAAGTCATGCATAACAGTTCAGGTCAGTGAAATTTCATTAACACATCAAATATTAGAACCAACACCACTTCATGCACTGAGATTCACAGAGATTCACCTTTTTAATTCCTAACCTGCAAGTGCTAGCTATTCATGGTCTCCTGGAAAACAGGATTGTATACAAGACTACCATATATGGTTGAATATTCAGTAAGAACCATTGTCCATCATATATGTAATTGTGCATGCCAACTCAGCACAAAGATATCTTACATCAATGATAAGGTTCTCCTTGAGGAAATTATGCAATGGACTTGCATAGCCTTCAAGAAACTGATTTAAACAAATTAGAGAAGGGAAAAGGAACAAACATGACCTATATTCATGCATACAGATGCTGTACAAGTTTACATGGTCAAATTCAAATGTGCATCTGTGTAGTGGAACTGGAAAGAATCACCTGGGGATGATACCAATCCAATTCCAGCAATGCTTCCTGAAGAATCATCTCAATTTTTATCCTCTTCCAAATGGGATTTTTCCATTACAATTTTATCTACTTGCAGTTGCAAATTCCAAGACAAGAAAAAACGTCAACATATGGGGACTGCTTCATAGTGGGTGTACAAAGAACATATATGAAAACATTGAAAACCATTAATGTCAAATTACAAAAATGTAATGTCACATTTTGTTAATGGTACTTAATATTGTATCATCATCAGCCAGAATGTGAAAAATGTCAACAATGAGGAAGCACTGAATGTCACTTGTTGAATGACCAAGGTGACCATGTTTAAGTCATTGACCACCATGAAACTCCAAACACATCAAATTGGCAATAGCAACAGACAATGGAGAAAAATTATTTCTCTTCCCATACTACTCTGGGATTGAGAAATAGAAAGCTTGCTTCTAGCTCTTCAGCTACAATATTACCCAGGAAGTTATTTATGGTTTATAAGCCTCAACCAAAGTCACGATTCTGCAATCAACTTTCTCTGAATGATTTATGGAACTACTCCATTTTTTTTGGACATGTGAGGAGCACCATCCAGTTAGTGACTTCACACTCTTTCAGGTGGGATGCACTTAGCAATTCCTTCACAATCAACCATAAGTGAAGAAACTCTATCATTCCTATGCACACTTAACTACATGTTAGTATTTGTCAAAAAAGGATCACAGCCTGAAATAAACAAGTGAAAATGGTACAAACTCAAGAACAAGCCAGGATCTGGTCACCACCTACCTCTGCCTGCACCCCCAGGAGGTGCAGGCAGAGGTAGATGATGGATGCAGGGGATGCATAGGGAGAAAAAGGTTAGGAATCCCTGATCTAAAGGATCCCAGGAAACAATTAGAAACATAATGTTGAATCAATGTTAAAGCAACATTGAATCAACGTTTGTAACGTTGGTCTAATGTAGCCTTGTTTGCTGGGATCCTTCTTCACAAAACAGCTCTCACATGCAGCCCCTTCAACCATTTCTTCTTAGATAATTTTCACTGCATACCTATCTGAAAAGTAATGTCTGCAATGCAAAATCAATGCAGTAATTGTGTAGGGTCTTGTGGGGACCTGTAGTTGCCTGATACTCCAAGAACATCCAGTGAGTAATCAAAGGGACTTTTGCTTTTTCACAGACATGAATAACAGCAGTTTTTTTCTTCAGTTCAAATTTCCATCAATCTTCAATTCACATCTTCAAAACACATCATTGCAAGAAATTTTTACAATCACTATATATAATGGAATCACTGAACTTTCAGAAAGGATAAGAGACAAAATGGTTAGAGTATTGGCCCATCAGGCTAGAGAGGAAAGATAGGGGGACAATAAGGCTTGATTTAGTCTCATCATTTTGTCTAATTTTGAGCTGTCTAACAAGGGCATTTCATCTGTCATGAAAGAATGGAATGTGCACTGCAGCTCGCATGAGCGAGCAGTGGCAGTGATTTCCAAAGCCATAAGACTTTGGCCTCATCAACAAATGGCTTCCTTATGAAACCCAGAGATGTCAGCATATCTTAGAATCTGTGATATAAATATTCTCATCCAAAAGTGGCAATAGTACAAAGGAGAACAGTACATTCATGAAGTCAGCTAGTGAGCACCACTTGCATTCAAGAACTTCAGCTGATGGAAACTGTTGCCAAGTGGTCCCTGGGTTCACTGCCTACACACTTTCTAGTATCGAAGATGGTGTCTGCCAATAAGCAAATTACTGCATTTTGCTAATGCATTAAACGTCTTTCATTGCTTATTCTAACCTCTTCCATCATCTTTTATTCAATAATCTCTGGCAACACAAACTACCAGCCCAGGTGAATCCACCTAATGAACACATTTGGACATTGGTTTGAGTTAGAAGCTCCAAGTACAGTGAAAATATTACAGGCCAATTGCAGAGATGAAAACCTATTTCTATAACCTTGTAGCAGTGCTCAGTGTTGCCATGATTCTCTATTAAACCCTTATTGTTTTGGTCAAGTCAGTTCAAGGACATCATCACAGCATATCTAAAATTACCATAGAGTGCAAATAAGGACCAATGCCATATTTCACATATAATACTTGTGTAAACTAACTGACTGAGTTTCCTTTTGATAGTAAATTGCACTCTGTGCTAATCTGCACTTGGACTACCTTTTTGATCGATGTTCAGTAAACAACACGGCTGATGCAATTACAACTACATCCAGGATCATGGCATTACTGTTGCAGCAAAGTAAAAAGAAATGGTCATTTACTTGCAGAGCAGTTATGGAATTTATCCAGCATACTTTATCCTTTCATCTATTTTGCATGAACAAAGTTTTTCATTCCATGTAGTGAGATGGTGCTGCCTCTATGAGTTTCATGAGGGTACCACAGGTCAGATGTGATCAAAAGCAGACCTGCAGGGTGCAGCATACATTCCACCACTCAAATGTAAGGATTTGGATACTTGTTTGCATGCATTCTTCTGTGGACAGCAAAAAATACTACAAGATGAAATGAAATAGCAGTGATGAAGTAACAAGCTGAAAAACCTAATTTTTTGCTGTTCATCACATCCAACATGGACTCTTCCATGGGAAAACATGCTATGATGTTTGACCATGAGATCCCAAGCTCTTCAGAGGAGCTTTCAAAGTAAGCTACATTGACAGGCCATAGGTGTAAATATTGTCACTCTTAATTAAATACATCCTTGATTGAATAGTCATTTATTATTGAAGCAGATGATGCAGTTTCATGGAGGAAACTGAATCAATACTGAGAGCTGCTTCCCTTCTGAGAACAGTCTTGCATGTTCTCACGAATATTGAATGGCCATCTGTCCTGCTACAAACATGGCATCCGTGAATTTAAGGTACTCTCAGAAGTAACCTAAACCTTCTAACAACCATATCTATGGAAAAGAATGTTTTCCTGAGCCATCTGATGAACCTTGCATTCATTATGTCATGAAATTTCAACATAACAAGTCAAATTATAAGTGTTATTGCACTAGTCACCTTCAAGCACTAAGAAACTAAATGCAAGCTGCAATAAATGCTACCTCCATGGTTGGAGTATACTGTCCAGGGTGAGTCTTAAGTCAGGAAAGAGGGAAATGTGATTTTATTAACATTTTATGTTTGTAGAACTTTATATTTACGTATGCTCAATATGATGTCCCTCTGTCTCAATGCATTGAGTTACTTTACCCATTCATGTTGAACACTGTGAAATGAAACCTGTAAACAAAAGAAAGAACGGTTAATAAAATCACATTTCCCTATGTTTCCAGACTTAAGACTCACCCTGCATCATAGAGCACAATCATACACAAGACATGGCATACACAACATATCTATAACTTCCTACAGGCAAACATTTCCATATCAGCACCATTTTTAAAGTCACATGATCAGGAAAAAAATTCAAACTGATACAGGTCCAAGCTAATCAAATATCACAGTCAAGATGGGAGAGGCGAGATGGCAAGACGATGGCAGAGGGAGTCGTAGCGTGTCTTGGCCAGAGCCCAGAGATCAAGAGCGACTTGTTCAACTGTTGTGTAATGGACTTTGTGGAATGAAAAAATGTTCCTTATATACGTCATCACCTCCTCCTGGCAAAGGGAGGATATGATCAGACATTCAGGAATCAGAAGCACAGACCATGCAGCCAAACAGGAATTTGGCAAGAGACCTTGAAGATGAGGCAGGTGTGTCGAAGGTGTTCGTTCGGCCCCAGGAATCCCCAGGCCACAACTGGGACGAAATGATTGAGAATGTCGTAGAATTTGGCCTGGTACCCTGTACTAGAACTCAAGCACTTCCTCTTCATCTGCAAGGCTGACCAAATGCTGGCAGACAAGGCCTGGAAAGACGTGAAATGCAGTCGAGTAACATCAGACCTAGGCATATCTCAGCACGCACTGTTCGCGACCGGATGAAGAAGGATTATCGATTGCGTCTTGTCAAAAGTGGCAAGAAGCCTAAAAACAGATCGATTGAAATCAAAGCAGCTGCGTTGCGGTGTGTACGCGGGGCACTCCAAACGTTTTTAGACACTTCACCTATATGTGAAGATGAATGAATTCCCAAGCCCACGCATTCGTTGAATCGACTTAGTCTATGTTGCTTTGGCAAGTTTTGTCCTGTTCGGCTGACATTTAGTGACACTGAGGCATGAACATCTCGACAGCGACATCTCGAGAACTGCTACTCTGCTCATGACTGAAATGAGTCATCTTCGCCTTCGTGCCATCACTTGTAGGAAGAAGCGCATTCGAGAAATGAAGGGGGTTGAACCAATTTACCTTTATTTCAGGCTAAAAAGTCTAAAAGCTTTTTGGGTGACCAAGAAGGTTTTTCTTTCCACTTTCTCCCCTCGCACAAGGGGAGAAAGTGGTACTGGCAATGCGGAAACTTTTGGAGCCAAGTTTTTGGGCTCTGCCCTCATTATCAATCGCGAATCTATGGGGGAAGGGGAACCGGGATTGCCAGGGCCCCGCCCTTCGTCCACTGAGATCCGTATTTTTGATAAACCAAACCGGCTGTTAGTAAACAAAAGGCTTTCAATAATTTGGACAAGCGTGGGCGAAGAGCGTGGCCCTCGCGTATCCCCCCCCCCCCCCCTTCGATATGCCACTGCTTCATATCAATATTAGACTCTTCATGAGAGCCGAATCCATTGATTCCATTTAGTACTTTTGGCGATCTAAAAGTTTAGGATGCATTCGTAAGACTCAAAGAATCTTGATACACGTATGACACATGGGTTCCGCTCCCATGAGCATCCAGTCTAGTTGAACAAAGTAGATACGGTATTATGATGTCAATCATGAGGGCCACAACAAATTACCTTCATCAATTAAAAGGATGTAAGGAAAGCCAGCCTATCTGCAAAAAGATATAGCTTTTTTTAAGCTTCAGAGGGAGCAAAGATTCTATTGACCATCATAGACCATTATATTAACCATACTAACCATTAAAATGAGGAAAATTTGTTAATGTAAATTAGTTTTCCACTTACATAAATCCCACAAACCATTATCAATAAAAAGAAAAGCGGTAAGTGAACATCAGATTAACCCTTCGTTAGTCCTCCTACTTATCGATGAAGTCGTTTTATATTTCGCGTAGGGCTCATTCGATCCCGGAAGACTAACAGAAGGTTAAGTTTGATTTCAAAACGACAGTTCAATTCCAGTTAGGTTCTTGTTTCAGTTCAGACTTTGGTCTAACTGAAGTTTTATTGAGCTTTTTTCGACTTCTACCACAAAGAAGTCTGAATAAGAATTGCAACTGAACCAAAACTGGAAATGGACTGCAGTTTTGAAATTAGCTTAAGCATACGTTTCTTAAATTTTTTTTTTTTGTTTTCTGGTGGTTGATGGACAAGCTTTCCTTCAGTCCTTCATTTTGACTCAGCTGGATATTCCATGTCATCTACCATCTACCATTATTTAAATGGTACTTCCCTTATGAACATCATCTGGTTTTAAAGTTGTATGTCGTTACATTTTCAACTGCCATTTTAAGAGACTTTTCGCAACGCATGCCACTTATAAAATCAAATGCTCAAGTTTATTTCCCAGACATTCAGGACGTCAAGATGAAAAAAAAAAAGGTTTTGCATTCGAAACTCAGTGGGAAACTGAAACCTGAAATCCCCTGATTAAAGAACATCTAAGAGAGAATATTTATTACTCTTGGCCAAAAAGATGAAAAAGCAAAGCTCCCCACCGAGAAAACATGTCGCACCGGTAGAGATTATATCTGTCTCAGACAGTTCATTTCGTTCGATAGGATTAGCAAGGAACGAATCTTTCAACTTGCCAAATAACGTTCTTCATCTTGTGAAGGGATAAAGAAAGGGTTTGGCCTACATATTTCTCTTCCTGGAGGAAGGAATTCTTCGCAACTACGAGTGAAAAATGCTGGAAGCAAGCAAAGCAAGCCATGGACGGGAAAGAGGCTCACAGATTCCTTGAAGCGATCGGACAGCCACCTGTTCCTCGCTACGGCGACGATGGACGAAGGAGGATCTTCCAGGATCTCGAATGCCTCCATGACGTAGTCGAGGATGACATCGTAGAAGGTGACAGCCTTGAGGCCTCTCTCTCGAAGCTCCGCGTTCATCTGCTGCCTCCCTTCTTCCGTACTCAGGTATGCCATCATGATGTCGAAGCAACTCTGGAATTCCGTCGGGTCCTGCAAGAAGATCACGTCCGTGATGGCCTGAGGGGCTTTGCGTTCGCTTGTCTGGGTGAGGAGTGATCCCCCACCTTGTCGGCGATGCAGAATAAACGCGAGACGATCTGTCTGGATCGCGAAGCAAACCAGCTGGCAGCCCCGGAGTCCTCGAAGAGAATCCTATAGCCGAGACGGATGCAATGAACTTTGATGAGGAATTCCTGGTCGCTCGTCACTCCCACCATCTCCGTCCTCAACGCCCTGCCGGGACACAAGCGACACCAAAGTTTCGTTTTCATTTGACCTTTCAAAGACGAGTCCCGTGTTGCCTATCTGTTACCCCTTTCATCGTTCGCCGGAAGCTAAAAACACATTTCCAAGATAGTAATTAAATGTGACATGACATAAATTGGGATCGTTTTTGATGAGGTTGGGGCAAACAATGTCAGTTTTTGAAGATGTCAAATTCGGACTGGGTAATGATGGATGGTGTGCTCGAGCGTATGGAGATTAAAAGCCTCTATCCATCTCCCTTTGTGTCCCCCTCGCATCTTGAGAAGCGAAAAACATGAACTAGTTTCCCACTCGCTGATGCCCCAGAAAAGCACTCCTTGCATGAAAATCTTTGACCATGTAGCCGTACTTAAACTCTGACCTTGTACGGGGTATGGTACAAATATCGAACACAATGATTAGCTCCTTCACACGCAGTTCTCTATTTTCTCTCCCCAAAGTTCTTTAAAACGTGTAATACAGGGAAGAAACAAAAGGTTAGCCACGACCGTCCATCATCCTCTCCGTTCAAAGCTTCCATTGGAAAAAAAAGGGTATATACGGCTGGGGTGGGCTTGTCCAATTTGTAAGGATTTTCAAAGCTTTCATTGGAAAAGAAAGGGTATATAATGCTGGACCGGGCTCGTCCAATTTGAAAGGATTCAATCAGTGACGCTATAGAATAGATGGAAGTCCTCGAAGCACGACAGGAAGGTTGTAAATCAAGTCGCAGGACTTCGATCTCTCATCTGGGAACATCCAGAGATTCGAGGAGAAAAATGAAATGTCACAAAAAAAGGAGGCTAAAAGCTAGACGTCGGCTGCATCATGAAAGGAAATTGAATGGATGGACGAGAACGGGAAGCGAGATAGTACACGATATATTTCTGTAAAAGGGAATTTCTCCTTCATCAAGGTCAGAAGCCGCTTACGAGGCGGAGTTCCAGCTCCCTCCCCTATGGAGCATCTCGCGTCGAATCCGACAATTCCTTAGAAAAATAACGGGAGAAAGCGGGGCCTTTCTTACTCCTCTCCGGCTTAAGTCGTTCATCATGGAGCCTGAATGCCATAGGAGTCCTTTGATCGCGGATAGCCATTATGTGATGAGGGCAGGAAATACGAGCTCCATCGGAAGACAAGAGTCACTTCCTATTTGCTTAGCCCAAGGTCCAAGTCCATTATTAGGGACTATTGATTTACAGAATATTGCGCGACATTTAGTTGACTCAGAAAATAATGAACGACAGCTGACTGGCCTTACAAAATCAATGGAAGGAGAAGGTAAACGTACAAAAAGAAGGGGAGGGGGGGGGGACAATAATCAAATGCATGAAAGAAAAATTATTTGCACAGTACATTTTTGCGTGCAGGTAAATGTGGAGTATCTGCAGCAGATTATCTAGGGCCTGCAGCAGTGATGAGCGAATCCCGAATCGAATCTCAGGCTTGACTCCCGACTTTTTCAGTCATGAGTGATTTCTATCTAGACATCGAATCGCAGAATCAGATTCGAATCTCGGCATGGAGCCGCGAATCCCAAATCAGAAGTGAACTTTGTGTGTCTTAATTGAGCCCAATTTCATTACTCATGCAAATGCTTCGGCAGAGGAAAAAGAATAATCGATCAAGAATGTACCATCATTAAGTGCAGATGCAGATGGAATTCGCAGAGCAGATGTAGATGGTAATGGGATGGAATTTACCTCAATTCACTACTGGATGACAGGTTTTCCGGATATAACCCGATGTTCCGAATTCATACTGCTTTTCAAAGCACCTGCACGACTTCAACTTTTGTAACATTCAATGGCACATAGATCCTCTCGAGTTAGAATGCAGAACAGAAAAGAGGATTATCCCGTAGGAGCCTCGAAAAGGCTTTCATCCTCCATTATGGAGATGAGATCCCGGGATTCAAGGCAGTACTTTCAGGCTGTACTCAACGACCTTGGGAGCGGCGATCGATGGATCTGTCAGTGGCAGAGAGAAATCGCCCGATTCTATTCTCTTTCCCCCCCACTCGAGTGCTAGTTGGCGTGCTCTGATTCAGAGATGGCGATACCACAGCAGAAAAATAAGGATCACGGAAGACAAATTCAGCGAGGGGGCATCAGTCAATCGGGACAGGAAACGGGATCTTACCTGAAGGGAATCCCGTCTTCGACCAGCACTTTCGCGGCGGCTTCGTACAGCTCCAGCTGCGAGAGGTCAACCAAGGCATCTTCCCAATGATAGCCGACCTACGAGATATTAGAGATGACCCGTGAAATTCGAAAAGCCCCAAAATTGCCGACAACCACACAGTGGAAACATTAATAACATGGCTCGAGGAGGCGGAGAACCCCCGATCTCGAATGAGATATGAAGGATGGGGGGAAAGATGGATTCCAATCGACAATAATTGCCTCTGGGCTGGGGTTCAGCGGGAGGAGAAAAAAGATGTAGAGTAAGGCGAATGCGATAACTCACGTCGGATTGGGCGGAGAAGAAGGAATCGAGGCTCGAGAGGCTGCCCGTGGCCCGAGACGAGGTCAGCGTCGGTTGTGGACTGTTCCTGGTGAACAGCAGGGAGTTCTGGAAACCAGATCCAATATTACCCATTACACTTCGGCCTCTTGCCCCAACCACTTTCATTCCCAAAATCACGTCAAGCCACACCGACCGAGTTCCTCGTACAAACGAGCGACCAACCGTTGAGAGATTACTAAAACAATAGTCTTCACGGTCCACATGCAGTTGGCTTTAGAATGAAGATTGACTCGTTGCAATGATGACTCAGTAAAGAAAACCACATTATCTTGGGAAAGTAAATATGTGAAAAATTACTTCCGCATGTCCCTGCTGGTATTACGCGACATTGAAGCCCTCAATTACAGTCTCTCTGAAATAAAATTGGTAGGAAATGCATACCTTCCGATTTAACTTCAGCCAAATCAGTTTCTTTCTTCCCGTGCATATTTCACCATTTCACCTGAAATGAATTCGCAATCCGACCATTCGTGACATTTTTGCGATAGGACTGCGAATTCATTTTCACCACATATGCATGATTCTATCTCGATTTAATTTATCGATCGGATTTCCGATTGGCTTCCGATACTATGACCCCAAAAGACGTCAGAATCTGCGATTCGGCATTCCCTAGGAATACTCAACTTTAGGCCGTGCAACTCAACGAATCGCATTAAGCGTTATCGCATTATCATAAACTTGAAAGCTTCAACCCAATACCAACTCCTCCAGACACCTTCCCCGGAGACGTCTTGGAGGGAAGTGATAGAGTGCCGAATAATTTGCTTAGAGCTCGCGGCGGATAAGATGGATGGCTGGATGAAGAGAGGAGGGGGAGGAAAAAGAATTGGATTCCTTCGAGGAAGAACTCACACACACACTCTCTCTCTTTCCTCTCCTTGCACCATGAGATAAGTGCATGTCAATGAGGGGGCTGGGGCATGCTATCAAATGGACTGATTACGATCAGCTTTCATCGGATACACGCATAATTAACGACGTGGTGATATGGCCGATGCCAGAGGAATGGCTGAAGCCCACATACCCAGACGAGGAGGGGGAGGTGGCATGAAACCCATGATGATACGCGGGTGGGAGGGGGAGCCCCTTCTCGTGAGATGAAGATACTCTAGGGCCCAGCTCAGCGTAAGAACAGGAACAATTCCTGTTATTACAAAAGGAAGTGGGGTCTATGGGGCGTCTCCAGGGTTCCTCTACCTTCTTCTCAGACATTGTCAACGTTCTTCATCGTAGACTCCGAAAACTGCAAGGAACTGAGTTCCGCTCGGCGGACCATCTCTACACACCTCGTACCGTGCGGGTCACCCTATTGTACTTTTATATACTTCTTCATGCCTCGTTTCATCTTTCAAGCCAGCACATTCAACAATCGTGATTAAAATGAATAGTGCAGGAATAGCAGGTGACACGGCTCGAAAAAAAAGGGTATCGCATTATCGCATGGGGTACACAATGAAAACCGAGCTTGCCTGTCAACACTCATTTCTGCCCATTCAGTCGGCTGGAATGAAAACCAAGTTCATCAAGCAATCGCCCTCCTGATGGGCTACCCCCCTCCCCATTTTTTTTTTTCCCATGAAGCTTCTGCGGTCAACCAGGGAGGACTGGAAGAATCGGGGGGAACCCCCCCATTTCCCCACCACCCACTACTGACCAAGCGTGCAGCCGGTGGCTCCCCAAGATCTTCGATGCTGATACGACGCCTACGTTACGTTGCCGAATGGTGTGCATGCTGCACGGGGCATTATATTCACCACCCCCTTTTTGTGCACACTCCCCATTGTTCTTGGAAAAGCAGCAAGGCTCTTCACGCCCTCGGATGAGTGGGATGTTGTGATTCCCGGTCGCATGAGCATCGCCATGGCAACGAGCTCCTCTCGAGAGTGATGAGTTCATCCGCACCGGTGGAGAAAGGTATGTTGTGGTTGTTTCCAACACATATGAGTGAGGGTGGGTGTACATTATACAACGTATATGGCTGAGTGGACGAGCAGCGTCCTGTCTGGGATGAAAGAAAGGCATAAGGGAAAGGGGGTGGCATATGGTCCCTGCAGGACGTCATTATCGAAGTGCAATGGCACAGTCAGAAACAGCGGGAATTAATTGGGCAGAAAAGAACTGAGGAATACATAGGAGACGCAGGAAGTGGTTCGTAAGAAATAAACGACGTCCCAAAGCAAGAACTCGTTCCTTAATTAATCGATCACTATCGCGCCATCATAACACGCCGATGGCATGCGAAGCAGCCTCCCCATTCAGGAAGAATTATCGTTCAAGACCTTGTTGCACGGGAGATGTTTCGACGTGTTGTCACACGGTCCGTTCATCACGAGAAGTTCGGAATTCCCGACTCCAAACATTCGAAAAGATAAACAGTTCAGAAGACGCTGAGTTCCGTGAATAATGAAGAGAGAGAGAGGAGTGTCAGAACGGTGAAGAAAGGGGTAATTCATTAAGTTCAAGAGGTGTCAAGTGAATCTCGACTCGAGTTTCGCATGCCCCTGTCTAGGATGATGTCAGTCACTGAATAACGAGTAACCGAGAGAGAGGAAGAAAAAAAAAGAGGGAACGATTTCGCGAAATCCGAGGATGTGCGATGGCGAACACAAGAGCTCTTTGTCGAAGTCAATGCCGTAGCTCATGGGACAGGAACACGAGACCGCGAGGTGGCGGGAATGACAACCGCTTGGAAGGTGTCCCAGAGAAAGAACTGGAGTGTGACTCTGTACATAGAGGAACGAGATACACCATGCCGGTCCACATGGATGCGGCTTCGGTCCGTGCCTCGCGCGTCTCCGACGTCTCCCCGTGGTTGCCATGAATGAAGATGCATGTCCTACCACGTGCGAGGCCCTTGTCAACACGGGGATCCGACCTACTTCCACATTCCCGTCAACCTGAGCCCGCGATGCCGGAAAGCAGAGGGAAAAAAATACGGAAATACGATCAGAAGGGGACGGAAAACTATCGTGCTTCTCCCGACGCGGGGAATGAGGACCCTCCATACTTAATCATGATCACGAGACTTCATGCTGGTCGTGACGGATGGCCTTCATAAAGTGCTCTACATCCTGAAGAAATGGCAGGCGTACATCTCACAAGGAAGCAAGAAAAAAATAATTGTGCCAACCAAGATTATCATCAGAGATGAGTGACTTCTAGCAGCGAAGTTCGGTCTTTGTCTTTTTTTCAATTACTTCTCAACTGCAGGGTGCCAGGTAGATTGGGAAATTTATCGAGGCGGGAAAAAGAGGAAATGGTCGTCATAAATTCTTCCTCTGATGGACGGTACTGCCAAGTTTCACGTACGGTACGATTCCGCAAGCTCGCTCCTCCCTCCCCATTTGGGCAGGTGCGTGAATGCTTCCATTGGTCATTCAAAGAGGAAATGAGATAGGAGCCAGCAGGTGCCCGCTATTGTTTCACCAAACATCATTACACATAGAAAAAGAGTAGTCGATATCCTTTTCTCTTTCGGCACAATGAGGGGGTATTACGTTCGTGATGAGTATTCGGGACATGATTGCGTTGACGCGTGGCGCTCAGCATGCTTTCAATATACCATGAGTGAGATAGATACACACACTAGTATCAATATCTACAAATTAGAGTCATGTATAATCAAAAACCAAAACAATGAAGACAAGTGGTCGCGATGATGAATGTTGGCTGAATGTTAGGGGCAAGGAAGGTGTCTTATTATTTAGAAGTCTGACTTGAGCGAAGTCAGAAAGGGATATTGCTTTAGGAAACGGATAGGGGTTCGGGTTAATCAGTAACGGATGGGCTTTCGAGATAATCAGTAGGTCCTAATCGGGAGAAAACGAGGGGAATAGCTTCAACAACTCCTGTGGTTTTCCTTGGCTACATTCCAAGACGAGAGAGAATGAAAATTACTCTCTCGCCATGTCTCCACCATGCCAACCTCGCAAATTTCCCCCTTACCTCGCGAAGAAAAGTGACAAAAGAGGTGAGAAGTGTGTCCAAGGTGGTCTTAGGGCCAGACACCCTCCCGGGAGACCGTTAACTCTTAAAGGGCCACCATCTCCGCTATGGAGAAGCAGGTGGCAAGCACGAGGGGCTTAAGCCCCTGACCGCAACCTCGACCGTCACAGAGAAAATATCGGGACAAAGAAAAAGCTGGTTAGAACGTAATTGTGTAATTGCGATCGTACGGCACCAGCCTCACTACACCTCTGCGTCGATCGTGGGCGGAACTACACAACGTCAAGAGGTCAAAGCCTCATCTCAATCAAGTGACACTTACAAATACAAATGGCGAGACCTCGAAGTTAAGAATTCTGACCTTTGAGCTCGCTCGCTTCCGCCCACAACGTCCATCGGTTTCAAACGCAGCGGTGATAATATTAATATGTACATGGCCCGCTCGCACTTTCCCGAATGAGTATGCACACTTCTAATCGAGAGCTATTACGCCTTCTTCTGAAGTAGAAATAGTGACATAAATCTGGATGTAGATATATCGAGGTCGGATGATAAAAACGAGTGAATCATTGGGTATGAGATGCCAACTGAGTGGGTGATCCGTGCACTTGCTCGTCTCTGGCATGCATCCAGCACATACCGAGTATGACAGGCAAGGTTGTAACCTCCGAGAAGAAGACCTAGACCTAGGATGAAGGCCGCGACGGTCCCCGATCGAGACGGCGGAAGAGGTCAATATTTCATAGCGGATCTCATCGAACTCGAATATTAAACTCTCAAGTGCCGCGACATCTGCATGAGAAATGCCGAGGCAAATGAAATCCCCTCGACGACGGAGCTGCAGACTTCAAGCTATCGGCTTGGGATTTTTTTTGGACCGTCAGGGAAGATGGTCTTTTGAACATAGATTTATTGCTTCTTCGTCCCAAGGGTAGACGCTCTCTCTGGCACATCCTTCTACTTCTTTCGACGATTCGCGAGTACCATGTTCTCACGCGCATCGGGGTCAACATTATGGAAATACTAGAGCCGAGGCATGCGATACATACTTATTTCCGCCTCTCCAATACGCATTATGGTAGTTTATGTGAGTATAGGTGGGGGCCAGGATAATTTTTGGAAGCATAATCCCGCAGATTTATGCAAGCACATTAGAACGCTCACCATCCGTGACAAAAAAATTCTGCTCAGAACGAATTTAATACAATGTGCACGTGCCTGACATACATATCAGTCCAAAGTTCAATTAACTCCCCTTAGACCAGCCCGAGAAAGGGCCCCGAAATCCAGATTTACGAGGGAGGTTCAAATGAAAAGGTTACTCAGGTCGCTCGTGCCCTTCGGACACAGTTTTACAGGGCAGCAAATGGCATGATGATATTTGAGCGCTGCAGTACTTCTCGACACAGCTTTCAGAGATCGGATGTGTGCAGTACGTCATCATGCAGTTGCGTGGATAATATATGAGCTTACGAGTCATACATTTGAAGAACAGCTCTCTGAATTATTGTGTTCCCAAGGGGACGACCGTCCCAGATTCATCGGGAAATGAGCTCAGCGGGAAGCTCCCGGAATGCCGAACTTCCAGTCTTCTGTGTATGCCGATTTTACTCTAGTCCGCGAATCCCGATGGAGTTTTGTCCTTTAATCCCGACTGGGACGATGAGAAATATCACACTATTCTAGATGATTCCGGGAATGCCGAAGTCAGATTCCGGCATTGAGGGAATGGTCGACGGAAAAAGAACGTCCCTTCGAGGCATTATCCTTGAATGCCAACACGAAATAATTTTTTTTTTGCATTTTCAACTCCCTTCTTTCAACATTTCCGGCAAAATTTCTTCAGCGAAGCGTATAAAAAGGGAATGATCTTGGATAAACAGCAACCGTGACTGAGGAAGCATCTTGCAGACTTGTAGACTTGTGCTTGCGATGAAACCTTCCACACCCGAAAGAAAATCCTCCGGGTCTCCAGATTGCATTAGAGAAGCTCTTCAGAAGCTCACCAGACGGGTTACTACAGTTTTCCATTTCACCGACGCAGCGACAAAACTATATGGCCGAGGTAAGCCAAAGGGGGGAGGGGGAAACACCCTGAGATGTGACACTCATGAAATTATTTGATTTCTCAATAAAACAGAAATTCATCATACCTTTTAGAGATATGTCGACCAAGAAAAGTAAGCAAACGTTTCATTATAAACCTTTAGTCATCAATATGTAATTGAAATTAGTAATTGGTCGGCATTCCTGGAGGCTTTGGCCAAGAATGCAGAGACTAAAGAATCAAAAGGTAGTGTTAAAATTTCTTCTCGAACTCGTGTGCAGGGGACGGTGGAATGGTGGGAGAATAATCGAAATGAAACGCATTGATCATGATTGAAATCAAGGGTTCGAATACGGACAACAAAAATAACTTCGGCAGTAACGGAAGAGCATTCCCGAAGAAGATTTTTGAGGCAGGTTTCACAGTTCAGCGCTCGTGGAAGCGACATTCCAAGTATTTTATTAACACGAGTTCATCGCATGGCGCTACGTTGAGTGAGGCCAGGAAGTAAAGAGTGACACGGAAATTCTCTTTCATTAATTCTTGAACCCGATGGATCCGACTCGAGTCCAAGGCACGTTCGGCCTCGCCGTGACGTGGATCGTCGCCAACATCGCTTCGGCCGTTACGAAACTGTTCACACGATTTACAGACCCGGAGCAACTGCCAGTCAGTGCCAAACACAGCACTCATTTCCTGATGAATATGGGATCATTTCCTCCGGGCAAGAAAAATCGTTTTCCAGGGCGCTGCTTTTCAAGTGCACAGCTCGTAAGCTCACACGCCACTTTATTCAAGCAATTTCACATCAACGTACTGCATGCATAATATATATGAATGCTGTATTGAGAAGTACCAGGAAACAAATATCTCCATACGTACTAGCAAAACTGCGTCTCCCAGGCCCTAGCAACAACTATAATCTTCTCGTTCGAACTCCTCTCGCAAAACTGGGCTCAGGAAGATGTATAAGTTCGTGTATCATTCCTAACACAGATACTGTATGAAAGCCCAATTTCTTCCCTAGTCTTGTTTTGTAACACGACTCTAAGATTTTCATAATGTCCATATGCCAATCTTTCCCAAAGTTTAGGTCGCTAAAGTCGTCAAGAAGCCCAAAAACGCAGCTGCGTTTTGTGATATCAGTGTAAATAATGCCTAAGATAGGTGCACCTTATTACTTCTGTATGCAAGGACTCCCTTATAGGAGGGTTTGAAGATGACTCCTCCTCGCTCCACCCACTTCTTCGGGAATAGCAAAAATACCGTAGACCCAGCCTGACTATGGCATTGTTGTCATTGTTGGACGACTTTCCGAAAAGCGTAGAATCACATCAACTCCAATTTAAATTGTCTATATACTCACTGCCAAAAAAAAGCCCTACTTAGGAGGAGTTTGATAATCTTGATGAATTTTGGTACACAAGCTCATACTAGTGTACCGTGTTTCAAGGTTGATCAGAGTTTCAAGGGTGTGCAGCGAATATTCACGAAGAAAACTTGCCAAACACTCCAATTTCAATAGCGGCTATGGTGACATATTAATCGCCCAAAACGGTCACGTATAAATATTCTATTGAAGAAACATGGTTTAAAAACTCCTAAAAGATGTGTCGAGATGAATCGAGCAAAGCTTCAAGGTCATGGGATGAGGCGATGCAGAGAAAACTTGGCGCCATCGAAGGAGCCAGTTTCCTTTTCTCTTCCCCTTCAGCCACTTCACTATCAAGCCGCTGCCCCAATTCCAACAAGTTGTTAAGAGTGTTTCATCGATGTCGACTGATTGGAATCGAAGACAGCAATTGGAGAAGTACATCACGCTAAGAGCAAGAGATTAAGTGACGTCAAAGAAGTGCCCCTTTCTTCAAGGACAGCTTCAGGATGCATTTACAGTCCTAATAGACCAGAGTCGGAACAGATTTGAACCTACATGAACCTACAGGCACGATGAGGGATTCCCCCCTTTCCCATACTCCTCATGGTGATCCCCCAAAGCACGTCCAATGGGTCGTCTTTTTCCCCATCCATGGACTTCCTCTCATCGCCTTCACTCATTCCCACCCCACGTGTTCCCTCTCTCTTTCTCTTATGAACCTACAGGCACGATGGGGGATTCCCCCCTTTCCCCCCCCCCCCCCCCCATTGAAAATCATTCGCGCGGAACGCCCGGCTATGAAAGCGACTAGCGAAGAGAAAAAGCGGGAGAAAGAGAGAAAGAGAGAGGGAACACGTGGGGTGGGAATGAGTGAAGGCGATGAGAGGAAGTCCATGGATGGGGAAAAAGACGACCCATTGGACGTGCTTTGGGGGATCACCATGAGGAGTATGGGAAAGGGATTGAGCACAGAGGGGGATACACTCGTAAAACTGCACGCCAGCAGCCTCATTACAGAAGTTGATAGCTCGCCTCTCCATCACGTGTGGACTGGGGACATTTCATGGAAATGACTCTCGACCCAATGTCCCCTCTCCCTCGCTCTCTCTGAGGGCCATAAACTATTGCTGAAGGGGCTCTATGGTCAGAGTTTCTTCACTTTTAGCTAAGTTACTTTGCCGGTTTAACTGGAACCTTGCTCAACTTTTTGCTTTCACTACATCCTGATCAATAACTTATCGACGTTGTCAGGAGGCAGTTTCTCTTTCGTTGTCGATGGGTTAGGACATGTACCAGTGCAGCAATAAAATAATCGCGAAATTTCAAGACCATCAATGCTTGATTTTACGGATACCACACCGTATGTAAATAATGGGGAACCCCTCAGTCTGCCCAGAAAGCATATATAAGAACAGCAACGTCGAAACTTTTTTGCCAAACAGCTTTTCCTCTAATCAGGATTTACCACGTGGTTACCGACGACGTCGTAAATTCTTTCTGTCTAACCCGTGGGACAGGTCCAAGAATAAGAAATCCTCGAAGGTCCAAGCTTTCTTTGAATATTCAGTATTGTTCTACCGTGGAAAGGTCAGAGTGCATCTGGATAACGAAGCACGGCCAATTGGGTCATGAATCTCGAATGTCCGTCGAAGCAATCATCCTGTGCACACACAGCTGGCGGACATTTCTCCGCCAGTACAATTCCTTTCCTTCGGAGCACGACGTGTACACAGATGCGATTCACCTAGCAATTGTACAACCGGAAATCCCTCGCATCCCGGGCATCCAAACGAGAAACAACTCACCTTCATCCGATGGTCGTGATGTCAAGAGTCACTTAATGGAAAAAAAAAAACGGATGCCAAGAAGCCGGAAAATTGTGACATTCTCCCAAGGAGAGATGGCACGGAGAGGACGGAGAGAAGAGAGAAGACTCCTCGATAACCAGCAGCATAAGGTCTAATGGAACTCCCACTTCTCCATTGTCTAGCAGCCCGTCCCATCTCGCACAGAAAACATCCCGATCCTTGGGGTTGAGAGTCCTTTTTCCTTCCGAGTATTTTTCTCATTCTATAGGCAACCATGCGTTGAATTTACTTAGCTCCCGTGAATCTAATCCTGGCAGAAGGAGGGGCACCAAGTTAAAGTGCAGACTGCAGTGGGCATTTCCTGAGTATCGTTGCCACTTCCCCGAGCTCTCTGTCGGCAAAGAATGATGGCTTCCATTTTGCGAGACAAACCAACGACTTTTGCGGAAGAAGGGCATTTTTAGCATGGCCAACTGGTAGGCACACACAAAAACACACTCTGTATGGCATCTTATGCCCCCCCCCCGCCCCTGACTCTGAGTGGCGTGGAACGTGCTTCGGACGTTTCCCACATGGGCTTGTGCTCGTTGAAGAATGGTTTGAAAGTTGTGTACTCTCCTGAATAGGGCTTGAAAGGTGAGTAAAATTACTGGCGATCAATCAACTGCATGTTTCCCCATTGATAATCCCGATACGATTATAACCATTCAGTTTCGCAACGGACCTGTAAAATCATGAAGGCCATCACGTAAGTGGGGGGAGGTGGGAAGGTGAATGTATTGAGAAAAGAGCTATTTCATAGCGTAACCCATGACTTGACTGGGGTGAGTACTGACATGCACTCCACGTGGCATTCTGCACGGTCGTGCAGAATGTGCCAGCATGAGGCTTCGACATGCAGGTCGATGGTGCAACTCGTCGGGGAGAAACACGTCACGTGTCGAGCAGCGTGCGAACGTGATGTTTTGCGTGCGGCCAGATGAGCCTGCCACCGACATGCACACCACGTAAGGCAGGTACACTCTTCGACACCAACAGCCGTTCGGCAGTTTCAGTAGGGGTCCTGCCTAACTCCGCACAAAGCATCCTGTTCGCACGCTGCTCGAAGCACATGTCCTATTCTGACGAGATTCACCGACTAACTACGTCTCGAGGCCTCATGCCGGCCACGGTGCAGGGCCATACGGAGTGCCTCAAGGTGTGCAGGTTAGTACACATTCCACTCGTGCTCCAGCATGAAATAATTCTGAATCACTCCGCGTTCGGCTTTTCTGACATCAATCTAAAGCTTTTTGAAACTGTTTAATATTTTTTTTAACACAACAACTAGGTCTAACTCGTATTTGCAATCGGAGTTATCGCATCAACATTTCTTGGAAGCAAAAACGGAATGGGATAGAATGTAAAGAGATAGAAGCTGACGAATGCCAGGGAAATGTTTCAGCTATACTGTAGGAAAAAGTGAACTAATTTGGTCATACGAGGAGGAGCAGGCTGGAAGCCAATTTCTTTGTGACATGGGGAATGGGGAAGGGGGGAAAAAGACGGATGGCGGTGACAAGTTCATCTCGGCTGACTCCAGCATGCATAGACTCGGGTCATTTTTAGGGACGCTGGACACAAGTGAATGTAGGACGAGGAGATCGATCTCGATCCCTCTCCCTTTCTCTCTCGCTGGCTCATCTTTCTGCCGCAGCGATACGGTGATACCCCACTTGGCGGAATTCCAAAGGCGCCTCATATCGCACCCAATATTATAAAGGGAATTGCTTATTGGTGGTTCCCACCTCACCCATTCCTTCTCCCTGCTAAGTGGATGAGAGTGGGTGGGGGAGGGGGGGGGCAACGATTTTGTGTTTGGCCTCCTTTTCCTAAGAATCCATTTTCTGCAGACTCAAGAAAGAAAGACACGCTTGGTCAGATCTGCTCGGATTCGAGGAGGCCAGAGGAAGATGGATGTCGATTTCCCGGCGCTTCCAGAATGTCTTTAGTATTTCCAAATTGCCCCTGGTATTCCAGGAATTTGGAAGCTGTCAGTGGGTATGGCGAGAAAAACTTGTTACCTGGTGCAAAAAGAGCCGCTCGCAGACATCTTGAAGCTTGTACGCCTCGTCGATGAGACTCTCAAGTCGTCTGGTTAGCTCCACGTCCATGACCGAAGGAAGGGCGTCCCCAACTTGAAGAGCTGCTTGAGCATCCTGCCAATGCCCAATGGCCGCTTCTAGTGCTTCCATTCCTGCAGAGGCAAACACAACCAAGTTTTAAGGTCTCATAAAGTCCTGCAATTGTCTACATAATACATTGCCTACATTGAGTACCGGCGGACAAATAGAGTTACGCAAAATATAAAGAATGGGAGTGCAGTCGATCGACCCGATCGAACGCTTTTTTTTTTGTAAAACTGAACTGACAAAAAAAAAGATTGATCAACCATCGGACATCACCATATGGCGAGGTATACGGTATATTCCCGACGAAGCTACAAGACAAAAAAAAGCAGCATGGAGGGGAGGGGAGGGGAGGGGAGGAGGGGGATCTCCCCGGATTGAGAACGCGAAAATTACAGAATGCTCACTTTGATGTCTTCAAGCAGAACTCAACCAATCACCATCGTTACCCAAAGCTCCCTCCGAGGAAAACTTTAATTCAATATCACGCAGGAAGCCATCACCAGACACCCCACCCGCCGACCAATCAGAATACGGCTTCACTCATCCATTCATTTTTCAATTCACGTCATTCCTTCGTCTGTGAATGCGGACCGCTATGCTACATAATCGGTGCACCCAAATCCCACCATACCTGACGGAGTTAGAAAAGCAAAGGGGATTTGTTGAGACTGGCGGGGCACGTGCCCTCAACGTTCTCAGGGACGCGTTTCTTCATTGCTCCGGGCACGTGTTTATAGTTGGAGGTTCCCCCAATAACTATAGGAGCGATGTGATACCGAGGCAATTCAGATTGATTACAGAGATGGAATGAGTTCAAGGGCAATGTGTAGCAGCTCGTTAGGTACTTCCTAGAGGCCAGCTATCGTCTCCAGTTCCAGTGTCAACATTCCTGGAATTCTCATTGCAGTGTCAGCTCCGCCACGTGTGGATGGGGGGCAGCATCATTTGTACAACATTCAACGCCCCTTCTTAACGTGCACCTGTTCCGAACGACTGTTGAAACTAATCTTGAGGTAACTTCCTAAGCTTGGATGCACACTACACTTTTTCATTATTTCATTTACCCAATTTCCTTTTGTTTACGATATTCATTTCGAAAGCAGCTTCCGGTCGATATCTGGTCAGATATCTCATAATCCATTTCAGGAAGACCGGCATGCCAATGTGGTCCTAAAAGCAGCATAACAAATACCGTCTGGAAGAGAGCAATAAGCTCGAGACAAAGGATACGGTATTGTGGAATGCGTGACCGATTTGTCTCCCGCATGGAATTGCCAGGGGTACGTCAACGGGGAGGAGTGCCCATTATCAACCCACGCAATCATGCAATAAATGCGACACGAACCGTGGTCATGACAGTTGCGAACTTGGAAGAACCGCTACATGGAGAAGACAGAATGAAGTCTCAATGAAGCTGTCAGTTTCCACGCTGTAGACAAACTCTTACGTCTTACTTCAAAGCCTTGCCATGAATATGTTAGAACTTCCGGTGTCAATTCGTGGTCATTGGAAGTGACCACGAAGGGACTACGATGTCCACTATATGCCCACTCTGGCCCAGGTAGCAATAGAACTCGCACATACATTTTTAAAACCTCGATATCCAAAGAAAATTTAATGACAACCAAGAGCGTTCTGGCATACAAAATGGCTCAGAAATAGGTTCATATGAAGGTACATGTAGTTAGGCCAATATGCTTGATTTGACGCCGCTGCACTTCGATGCATATTTCCAGACGATTGAACACTGTTCGGTCAGCTGCATGAAACATGTCATTTTCCCAGTAGGTGGTACTCCACCACATTGAGGAACTCCTGCAGCTTGTCTACAATTTATGGTTTTCGTAATACGCACGATCCTAGATAACCCTCCAGAAGTCCAAAGGAGTAGGGGAGCGTGGTGGAAATCAGTCCTCGTCGACCGATCCAACGCGCAGGGAAAAGTGCATCCAATCCATCATGGGGCTTCATGCTCAGTCATGTCCACAAAAGGGTTAAAGTCCCCATCTAGTAGAGGTCGGTGACGCTGGTTGGACAGCTGAGGGAAGGGGAGTGGGTGGGGTTTTGAGAGCAACATCTCATAATTAGAAACGACAGGAAGAAAATGGGAAAAAAAACGATGAGAAGAAGCGAAGAGAGAAAAAGCAGCTTCTGTTCTCCCTCCACCCATCGATTCGCGAGTTGGAGACCCTATTATGAAGCATTCTTATCTGTGCAGAGAGGGACAGGAGACAGGAGCAAAAGGGAAAGAGGAAAAGAGCGAGAGGGAACGAGAGTGAGCCGATTCCCCCCCCCCCCCCAGCCCTGCTGCCTCTCCGCTCCGAGCCGGAGTCTCCTCCCGCTCCTCCTGCAGTCATTCGTCTCCCATCAGAGGCTTCGGACGGTCGCCGAGTTGGGAGCCAAATCCTCGGTGCACGCTTTCGCTTTCATCCCGATGAGGTCGTGCCAAAACGGTCAAGCATGAGGAGCTGAGACCTGCGAACGTGTGCTTCTGCTATGTCTCCGAGCCCTCCCGCCGAGTAAGACCTTAGGCTATTTCCCAGTCCATTTGTACCCACTTTTATTAGAGACCAACGACACTTCGTTCCACGTGCTTCCTGTTCATCCGAGCGAGTCGCTGGCCTCAGTCGGGGAACTCATTCGGCTACAACCCATTTTCAATCTTTCCCGTAAGCATACGACGCTTTTTTTTCACGTGGTACCTCACCACACCAATGTACCGGGGAAGGGTCTCTCCTGGTGCGAAAACATCAGAAACATGAGAAGACCATGTGCGAGTCACGCTGCGGCCAGTGGAGCAATGAAAATACACCCTAGAATTTGACGAATCGAGGAATTAAAGCCATTGAAATAGACGTGTCCTCGAAAATAAGATATTGTGCTGCGTCATTTGACAGCCAAACGATAGTTCGCTACCGTAAACAACCCAGAGCTCCGAGTGACTTCAGTTGACGTACACAAGGTCATCAAAACAGCATTTTCAGGATGAGTATGCGCTGCAGAAGAAAAAATAATTGCGCTCAGAATATCAAGCACGATTCCCTTCTACCTTGAGTTATGTTCTCGCCGCAACCGTGATATATATACTGTTTACTATCGTCTTCGTACAAACTTATCGTTAGGCTCCATCAACACCTCATCTGGAAAGTAGGCCTACCCTTCTACCACCTCTTCCGGAAGTCTAATACAGATAGCATTCACTCTTTACTTGTGCTGGGCTGCTTGTCGGACGATATGCGATCGATGTCTCAAAATCCGACGCCCACTCGAACGGACCACGGATTTTAGAAAATGCTTTAAAGCCCCAGAGCAAATCTGTCACTCGCCACATGGTATCGCAAGCTCTTGAACAACGTAGGGGGAGGGGTATGATGAATGCAAAACCGAAAAGGAAACAGAGGAGGGAATTCTATTATTGGACGAAGTTTCCCCAGTTATTCGACACAGTTGTCAGTCAAGAAGAGGGGACAAATGGGGGGGTGAAACCCCGGTGACGTGACTGACAATGCAAACACGGCATTAGACCCTCGGTTTCCCTCTCCTTTTCTTTCATCCAGGAATAATTGGAAGAAGGGCGAGGTTTGCCGTTCCAGGAGATTAAAGATACCCGGGCGAGTAGACCTTATCGGGATTCCGAAGACCGAAAACAGCAAGATTGGGGCGCTATATTCGGCCAGGATGAGCCTCGTATCGCCCTGGCGATCGCGATACTTGATATGACGAAAACCCCCAGCTGCTCGGCACTCGATGGAAATGTGATACGTAACAAAAATTCCGTGGACACATGCCACGTTTATTGACCTTGCACGCGCGGGGCAGGATTGCACAAAGCAGAAGGATTATCAAAAGAAAAACATAGATTTGGTGCGATATTTCGGCGATACGGATCTCATGATAAAGGGCCGAGTTCTGCCATGGGTCATGTAGTTCAAAGTCATCTTGCATCTGCATTAGAATGGCCAAAATCGCGTGGTGAGAATGAGTGCCGACCGGTTGAGCATGACATATATCAGCCTGAACGGACGGAGATAAGTTAGATCTGAAGGGAAGCAATGATCCGTGCATGATGGAACAGTCCTGCCTGGGTACAGGGGGGAATTTCTGTCCACGAAATAATGAAGCATGAAAACACACCCCCTCCCTTGGACTAAACGCCGCCGTGAGTTTTTTTTTCTTCCCCTATCTACTTTTTCCCATCCTCATTCCTTTTTTCCCCTCTCCTTTCAAAGGATATGCGTTGTGCTCTCTCAGCTGATTCTTGGCACGTGACATGCCATCCTCCCGTCTCCTGTCACAGGTCGTCGTCATTCCTTCTCCGCAATGACTGTCATAAAATACATCGTTCCCAACTTACGTTGGTATTCCCTTCAACGTAGGCGGTGAGATTCTCGAAAACCCATCCGTTACGGAAAGATTTTCATCTCATACTGCGCGTCCAGATGTATCGGGAATGTGACAAAGCCATCAACGAAAGTCACTCCTGATGTTACCAAGATATTCAAGCACATCATGTGACCGTAGCAACCTGTCGTTCCCTTTCCTTCATGAATGAAGATAAAACGGTTCAAACGTGCTTTTGTAACTGTACTTTGCGACCATCGCCGTGGATTTTTGCTTATGGGAACTCAGTTACATCGAAAAATCTGGCACATCTGCTTAAACACAGATAGAATATCCTAGGCAAAGGAAATTGAAAGCTCTAAACTTTGGATAAGAATGGGACGGAGATATATGCTTTTAAACGAAAGCGTATAAAAAAAAATGGAATACAATGGCAGGGTCATCATAAAAGCGGGAGTGGTCCCGATGAGACGAAACGCAAGCCCCTATCTCTGGGAACCTCTCCCAATGCTGACAGACGCCAGGGTCATCACTCTCAATAGCAGCAGGGGGGAAAGGGGGGGGGGGGGGGGGGGAGGGAAGGCGAGGTTATACCAAATCAATAGTATTATTATGGCACTTCACGAATATAATTATGCATTATATGGGGATGCTGGGAACATGGGGCATTGCCGGCAAGGGGGGCTAGCCCATATTGAGCCCACATGTGCAGAGGGTAGGGTCTGGGGGCAGCCCGTTTGATCCGCTTGGCTTGCATTTTATGACTTGGGCTTGCAGGGATGGATGTGTGAATGTAGCCTTGCTTGCATGCATTGCGTCTATATAGATATATATAAAATGCAGCCGCATCGTAAAAATCCTTTAGGGGTAGATGTGAAAGAAAAAGGGATGGAGGGGTACAAAATCCACGCTAACGGAAGCCGTGTGTCAAATACGGTCGCCTTCATACCGAAAGCATGGGAATAGATACTAACGCCTATTGGCCCTACAAGCGAGGGCTATTCTCCTCATCCCCCTTCAAATGGCTGACTTCAAATTTCCATAACAAACCCTACCTGAATGCTAGCTTTAGCAGCCTTACGCCATCTCACCGCGATCGGACTCCGCTCGCTGCAGTGGGAGCCCTGAAATCTAACGACTTCTCACAGGTCTCAATGATAGGAGACTATTGACTTAACTCCGCCACGCTGTCGGAATAAACTGCAGGTAATGATAGTTTCAACTTTCAGAGCAAGAGGTAGTTAATGCCCAGCCAAGCGAACATCCCACTCGATTTCGCTCTTCAATACCGTTCATTTCGCATATATGCGTGGGATGAAAGCGTTGGCAGATTAAAGTGGCAATGTAGGTCTCCCGTTGTATCATTACGGGAAACTGGAATATGGGTTTCTCCTGTTCGATTTCTCCACAGGTAGGAGAGTCGAGCACTATGTGGCGAGTGGTGGCGATGACTCTCGCCTCCCTCTCGGCTATGATCGCGTCTTCCACGGAACCTTCTCAGGGGAACAAGGTTTTCTTGTATTTTGGAGAAAAGGGGCAGAGGGCTTCGAGCACGTTGGAGTGGCAAGAAGTGTCCCAGGTCCAAGACTACAGCTTTGCCCTCGAGGGAGTGGTCGGTCGGGACGGGAAGACGCTATACGTGTGTCGTGCGTTACACCACGGTGCGTGGGTGCCAGGGAGGCAAGAGGGGATCCGGTGCCACATCCCATGGAGGAGGAAGGAATTCTCCTATGCTGGCTTCCAGGTCCTGCTTAGTCCCGAGTTTGCTGCCAACATTCATTGGACTCCTTGGTCAGTCCGGTCCGAAGTCCCTGATGGAGCGGTGAGCACAAACGGACTTTTCATTGTGAGGTACCGGAGGAGTGATAGTGAACCTGCCTACCTCGGCAAGTACGACCCAGGACTCAGCTATGCGGAAATATTTGTTCCTGGTGTGGAGAACCACCGCTGGCACATGGTCGAACTCCTCGTGGAGTGGGAACCTACCCAGTACGTGTTGAGCAACGTCCAGTTCATTTATCCTTCTGGCCAAAGAAGATCTAATGGTCAACTGATACCAACAAGGGAGAAGAGCGTCGTCCTGGCCGAGTCCGTGCTGAGAAACGAGAAGGACGTATCGGAAATGAAAAGTACCACCATGCCTTACTCATACGAGGAGAGCATTGTGGTAGGAAATGTGACAGGTGCAAAACAGGGAGTCCCTGTGATGTTGGATATTAGAAGTCCTGTTTTCCTTGGAGGCATT